GTGACGATGGCGTTTACTAGCCTCACTTCCAACCTCCCCCTTAACCCACCCTAACACTTTCCTGGGCTTACTTACAACTCGTTTACAAGTGTGTATGGAGGCTATGAATAGAACTAGACCAGTGCATATTATTATTTCCTTTAGTTTCTACAGGAACATAGAGCTTCAGCCGCACGTCTCCATTGCGTCCGGTTAACTGTCCATATGCTTTCATCTCCTCTTCACATGATCTGCTCCGCCATGTCACCCTCGCACTGACGACCAACTCGAAAGCCTGTCGTGTGATGTCACTCACTTGATGGTTTGTTTTCTCAGAGTATGGCCAATCCAATCCACCTGCATTTCTTCCTGCATATTTTTGGCACAGTTGGTTCATGCTGGGTTGGTTGGTTCGCTCCCAGAGATCCCTCCCTGTTGCTGATCTTTTCTGGTTTGAGACAGAGACACTTTATACCACTCTTAAAATGCGTTTATTTCTATCGAGACATTTAGAAATACCCTGTTAACGCTAGCCTAATTAGTGATTTTAAACTATTTTATGTATTTGTTCTTATGCAATTGTAATCTAAGAGGGACTAAATAGATAGGCAGACAAGTGATTATATCTGAAATTATAAATAAATAAAGGCTTTTCTACCTTTACAGTATCATAAGTGAAAAGACACATCTGAAAAATATACAAGAGCATATTTCATTTCTATAGTTTGGTTTGTAAGGGTTAGTTATGTTTTTACGAGTTGATCACGGACTGATATCAGTTAGAGAACCATTGAAAACCAGGGAGTACTGGACAGCTGCTGTTTCATCCTAGTTTGGGAATCATCGGCAGTACGCACCCACTGGGATTCGAACCCAGGACCTTCCGGTTACAAGGCAAGCTCGTGACTAGTGAGGTCCAATTAGATGTCACGTGTGTGGATGGATTTCCCACCAACGACAATGGTTGGGGTCGCGCTAAAATCACGAATTGGTAGAAGTTAGAATTCATGAGCCGTTGAATCGGGTCCCAGTGGCTGAATGGTATACGAGCTTGCCTTGTAACCGGAAGGTCCTGGGTTCGAATCCCAGTGGGTGCGTACTGCCGATGATTCCCAAACTAGGATGATGAAACAGCTGTCTAGCAGTACTCGAGTGCTGGTTTTCAATGGTTCTCTAACTGATATCAATCCGTGATCAACTCGTAAAAACAAAACTAACCCTTACAAACCAAACTATAGAATATATATATGTATTTATAATGGAGCGCTCCTGCCTTAAGGGAAATTGAAGGAAAATACCTTATGGAGGTCTTCCAAAAAGACGGATATCCATGAGACTTCATCAAGAGCCACCTACCTCCAACCCAACCAAACAAATCAAAGGCCCCAAATGAAAACTTGAATAAAATCGTCTTACCATGAACATAAAAAACGTCTCTGAGATCACTGCAAGACTTTTCAAACTTTTAGGAATTGATGTCACACACAAACCAACAGAATCACTTTACTCAGCTGGCTCTATGTCAACCAAAAGAATGAACAGCGAAAGAAGATAAAAGCAACATCATCTACAAAATAATTTGCAATATTAAAAATTGAAGTAATAAAGGAAGAGTATACAAATTGAATAAACAAAACGAAAAAAATTAGTAGAGCCAAAATATGAAATGTGGATTATCATACTTTAGCATAGGGATTAAGGCAATGAAGGTTAGAGGGATTGAACGAACTTTTCCTGTATACAGAAGTCTAGTTTCCCTATTTCTATGACCAAAGATGGTTTCAGCAATACAGATGAGTCGGATACTTAGGGAATTGGGCAAGTTAATTTTCTCCTCGTAGATGACTTTAAAGGCGGAGGCTGTTGAGAGATAGCCTGATCATTATCGATCAGATGTTCAGTGATCACGTTTCTTTAAATTGTAACGACAGCGAAAAACACTACATTAACCAAAGTGGACACCCGTCAAAAGACTTGATATCCACTCCCTCACTCATGTCACTGCATTCAGACAACCATGGACAGCAATTCGATTGGAACAACATTCATATTTATTTATTTTATTTTTATTTTTGATTACAGCTTGATGCCACACCGTATTTTAAGTACAAGTATGGAATTTTCAGCATGGATATCGGTAGCCCAAATTTCGCAGGCCGACCATAGATATCGGGTGTGCGTTGGCAGGGGATCGAACCCCGGACTATGTGCATGGTCGGCGAGAGTCCTAACCACTGTGCCACCGACGCACAGACCACGGGCCCAGCCGGGATACGAACCCGTGACCACTCGCATATATTAAACAGAGGAGACACCAAAAAACGCCAGTGAATTAGCAATTAACAGACATATTGACATAGACAAGATTTACTAATCAATAAGAAGGAAACCATAGGAACAAAAGGTCAACTTTCAGGTTAAGGAAATAATCAGTACCAATATGTTCAAGGTTACGAGGAGAGGTAACTAATAAATAAATAATAATAATAAAAAAGATCAAACGTTGTGGACAAAGCGTAGTGCTAATAAATTTGTGGAAAAATTTACTTCAAATTGAATTATGCTGTGAGGATGTTGCCTAGTGGTGGAGCTATATATATATGCGTATCCATAGAACAGATCAGGCAACATTAAAAAAAGCGTTATAAAGGGAGGCTGATGAAAAACTTGTAGTAGTAGCTTCGTTTTGAGCAAAATGCTTACACACACATATTTTATTGCATAATGTTTACCGTTCTTCTAGGAACTTCAAGTTAAAATATTAGTCGACAGTATATCGCCTAAAGAGTCTTAAGCAATAAACGATTCCTTATGACATTCCTCCCTGGTTTCCTTCCAGAAATAAATAACAGTATGTTGAAATCACCGAAAATACCCATTTGAGTCATGAAGAAAATAAAAGACAAATTCAGCCAGAGAAGAAAATTTTCTTTATCGATGAAATCATCTTCACAGGCTGCATGTACAGTCGTATTTATATTTAACAAAAATGTATAGTAGTCTGTTATTGAGTAATAGGGGGTGACATAATCTATATAATTACTCAGACGTGGCTTTAGAAGTAAAAAATAAAAGTTCTAAATTACGTGGTACTCAACGGCACAAAGTTAGAAATTTGATAAGGTTAAAATTGCTATTGAGTGAGAAGAAAGGTGGTAGTTGAGTGTCAATTTAACAAGTGTGAAGAGAGTGTGAAAATGTACAAAAGGAACATATGAGAGTGATAATAGTGAATTAATTATTGAAGCAAAAGCAAACTAAAAGTAAAATTAAAAGAGAAAAAATCAAATTTTTTTACAGGGAACGACTAGTGAAGAGGTTAAGACCATGGTAGAATAAGAGACTAGACAAACTGTTTCTGTATACAGAGTTCAGGGTTGTATTGACGAATTGCCGAATTGCCTTCGCCATACACAAAAGCCGAAACCTGACGCCCTTTGTACCACTTGGCTTCACTTTGTAGATGATCTTGAAAGACGACTCTGGTGGAGCTACGTGGCTTGAGTTCACCAAGTGCTCGAGAATTGAGCTAGTAATTGTGACTAGCGATCGAGCACTACTTGTTGACGTGAGTATAGTAACAAGTAAAAGATAATATTATGATCTGAATATTTTCAATTTTGAAAAAATAAGTGTCAGTGAAATTCCATCTTTAGAAAAGAAAAACACCAGATTGTGTGAAGAAATATGCATTCCTTTTCAATTAGCGGTTCCTCATCATCGGCTGACTGGCTCTACACACTGAAATATAGATTTTTACATCAATGTGTTTTACCAGTCAGCTGGTTATTTTAGTTAATCAGTTTGAGGTATAACTAGACGGAGGTGAAATTAAGAGGTTAAAGGTCATCAAAACACCAGTTAACTAATAGATGTTAGTAACAAGATATATAAGTTTTGAACGAAAGGGGGGGGGTGAAAATCAATTAGTTACAGAATTCAAGGTGAATTAATTCTGAGGCATTAGCAGCAAGTGATTACATAATCTGGTAATCTGTAAAATAATGATGACTCAGAAGAATTACGTAAAATACAAACAAGTTAATAGAATTAGTCAGAATTGTAAACACAATAAACTAACAAAGTCCCAAACTAGGCTGACGAAACAGCTGGTTGTCCAGTACTCCAGTGGTGGTTTTCCAATGGTTCTCTAACCGATGTCAGTTCATGATGAAATCCTGTAGCCAAAGAAGAGGAATATAAAATTAAATTTAAAGGAAAATATTAACAATGATGTAACAGTTAAAAAAATTGGTCCTTTTACTTAGAGTTCCACAGTGGGTTGATAATTTCCTGCCTTACACTTTTCTCATCACATAAAATGTGTCCCATCTAAATAAGGTATTGCAGAGTTTTTGTACTTATACGAGTTTTTACGAGTTGATCACGGATTGATATCAGTTAGAGAACCATTGAAAACCAGGGAGTACTAGACAGCTGCTGTTTCATCCTAGTTTGTGAATCATCGGCAGTACGCACCCATCCTACTGTCTGGGTTTGAACCCAGGACCTTCCGGTTACAAGGCAAGCAATCTCGTATACCATTCAGCCTCTGGAACCCGATTCAGTGGCCAACCCATGAATTCTAACTTCTATCAATTCGTGATTTAGCGCGACCACCAACCGATGTCATAGGTGGGACGTCGATCCTTACAATTGACTGGATGGACCCCATTTAGTCATCTGAGCATATAGCCTCCTATAGACGCATCAAGAAGAGAGGCGTATATAGAGAGGATGTCCAGAGTCTGGCAGGATAATATTTGTTAATTTCTCGGAGGAGTTCATGTGTCTATCTAAAAGAGTATTAACGAACTGGTGTAGCAACACTCCTCTCGTCCTACCGATAGCTCTTAGTGCCCTTCGTAGTCTAACAAAACAATCTTTCTTAATTAACCGGGGAAAGATTAAGGAAGAGCATATATTTAAGACACTAGTCTTCTAATTAAACCTACTTCATAATGATAACTGCCCAGTGGACAACTTACTTATTCCTTAATTGTTCACTTTACTTTATAAAGATTCTTTTGAAGACAACAAAACCAATTTAAGTGAAAATAATCTGGTCGGTCATTTGGTACGCCGTCGTACAACAGAACCAGGAGAAGAAGAAGAAGAACAGGAAGAAGACAACAATGACGACAACGATGACAATGATGACAATGACGAAAGAAGTCCAGATGTAGATTCAAGTGAATCCATGTACTCTGAAAATTCAATAGATCCACATCAGTTGAATAAATCATTTCAAAATTGTAGTCCAAATAGTAGCACACTAATGAATAAAAAATCAATGACAACAACATCAAAAATCAATCACCACCTGCATTCATATCATAATCATCATCATCATAATTTAAAAAGCTGTGAATATCACAGTGGGATGAAAAAGTCAAAGAAACCGCGTAAAGCAAGAACTGCTTTTACTGATCTTCAATTGAATGAACTGGAAAAAATGTTTGATCGACAAAAATATCTTAGTGTTCAAGATCGTGTAGAATTGGCGGAGAGATTAAGGCTAACTGATACACAAGTGAAAACATGGTATCAGAACAGAAGGTAAGTAAGTACTTCTGGAAGGTATATCTTTTTTAAATTTATTCCTTCATGTTCCCAGTGGTGGAACATAGGGCGGCTTCTAGCTAGAGGCTTGAAGTTTCGGTAGCAGTGGTGTTTATTTTTTATTTTTACGGGATGGGGTTGCTAGTCAGCCTCATGCTCAGCCTCCCTGTTTACCAGTCTTATTACTGGCTTAGCGAGGTAAAGGAGTGCCTCCAATGGCCGGAGATCGAACCTAGGACCACATGAGTGGTTGGCGAGCATTCTACCGCTGTGCCATCGACGCACTTCTGGAATTTAAAACTGACAATAATAAAGGTAGTAATGACTGTAATAATCTAACAGGAAGGTATGATTGATAAATTCAGGCTTATTAAGTGGTAACTAACTACTTGTATGACAGTTTTCAAGGTGTCGTCTGATCTTTGAATCTGGACAAGTCTTGCTGGGTCTTGCTCTAAGGCATTTACACCATATGCTATTTCAGGTAAGTCTACCTCTTTTGTTCTAGATAAAATATCCGGTAACGCGTTCTCTTCTCCTGGAACATGAGAGATCGTGAAATCATACTCTTGCAGGCGCAACATCCACCGTGACAACTTCCCACGTGGGTCTCTGACGGTTCTCAGCCACATGCGAAACACCGGTCTCTCCGCACGCTCAGTCTCAGCGCGGCCACTTCACGTTGCAACTCTTCGATTTGTTTCTCACACTGCTCGGATTTTGGTGGCTCTACCGCTGCAACCGTCTTGCTTAACAGTTGTCTGGTCACCTTCGCCAGCTCCCTAATTTCCAGTGGCTGTACGGCGTTAACCAGATGTAGCTGTTGAGATATATGTTCTGGAACACTCTCCATAAACTGGGACGCCAACATTTGTGCCTCAGAATCTTCGTCCAGTGTTGGTAGAGCGCGACGCAGTAGGCTTGTCAAGGTCAGTGCCAATACGAGAGGATCACCGTCAACTCCCGACTTCGTGGTGCGAAACTGCTGCATTGCTCGCTCTCTGTCCATCGGGCTGTCAAACTCCTGCTTCAAGCGTTCAACCACTGACTTTCAAGTTGCTTGCCCTTCTGTTTGCCTCACAGTATCATATGCTGCCTTCAGCCAGCCTCTTAGTAGCGTTCCAAGTAAAAGCGTCTTCGCTGATGGCTCTTGCACGCGATTCAACTCTGGAATAGCTTCGAAGTCCCTCAAGAAGATCCATATATCTCCTTCTTCAAAAGCTGCAGGCCATGGGACTTTCATTTCGCGACAGGCAGCGACACCAAATGTAACAACAGAAAACAAGGGCCAGGCAACAGATAGTTTATTTGCGAAATCAACAGATATTTATAGATTTTCATGTACATTATTATAGATTATTGTAAGCAAACAAACACCGTCTTCTGATTGGTGGTTTCTCACTGAACGTTAATCTTTCATCTCTTTGTGGCTGTTTCTTGAAGTTCAGATTATCTATCTGCAAATTGTATCCGCCTACGCAAAGTCTGCTGTGATTGGTTTTGAATCAGTCTTTGTTCATATTTTTCTCACGACCAATATTGGGGACGTAAACATTGACGTAAATTACTGTCTACCAATTTGGCTAGCAGCCAGCTCTCACCACACTCGTCCCCCAGTCAAATAGTTTGGACTGAAGTCGGCTTGATCTTCTTGGTGCTGGCTCCATTGTTGGCTTGTCTCGCTCTATCCATTTCTAGAGCTCGCTGACGTTCACCCGCTTCTCTCTGTTTGCATTTTTGATGGTATATACGTGACCCCGTCTCGCGGTGACCGTGTATGGTCCTTCCCAATTTGGTAGCAGTTTTCGCGAGCCTGGCACGTATCCGCCGGTGTTTCACCTATCTCTACATTTGACTTGATCTCCGATCTCGAATGCGGGGTACTTCTCCTTTACCCTCAGTTCGGCTTTCACAGCGTCCACTTTCTGCTTTCGTTTTACGTTGTTGATGGCTTCTTTCCGCTCCGTCCGCCATCTCGTCATACTCCAATGCTGATGGAGGGGCCAGGTCTTGTTATGTATGGGTAGTCTTGGTTTCCCCCCACACATCAACTGAAACGGTGCTTTCTTCGTCGTTTCTTGCGCGGACTCACGATGTGCTAGCAGAATCAGTGGAAGCTCTGTCTCCCAGTTACCGCCCTTTGTGGCCAGCCACTCTTTCGGGTTTCTCCGTCAGCCCGTTCGTTTATAGATGATATGGCGTTGTTCTAATTTTCTTGATACCTAACTCTTGCAGCCGGACTTTAAACTCCGCTTTCAAAACACGGACCTTGGTCTGTCAATATCGCTTTTGGCACACCGTGATTTGCAACGATATGTCGAACCACTGCTTCTGTGACCGTTTTTGCGCGTTGATCAGGGATCGCGACTGCGTCTAGCCATCGTGTGGCATGTTCTGTCATGACCAGAAGATATTGATTGCCACTGGACGTTTGTGGAAAAGGTCCCATTACATCTACGGACCACAGGTCGCTTACTGCTGTCACTGGAATCGACTGCGGTGACGGTCGTATGTACTGATCACCTTTCATCAGCTGACATCGCTTACACGCTGTTACGTACTTCTCGACGTCTTCTCTCATACCTTGTCGCAGGAGATCGCTCCTTCGGGCAACGCCTGTGTGAGCTAGTTGGTGACATTCCTGTATCATCTCTTGGCGCAAACACTGAGGTATTACTGCTAAGCAGCTTCCGTAATCCTCCCGCCACGTCAGCATTCCGCAGGCATTCCTGCGTTCCGCAGTGGTACATCCAGATGACGGGTCCCAAATAGGACGAAATGCGCATCCTGGATTCCACTGCTAGTCACCAGCTACCAATTAATTTCGAATTAAATGCCTAGACATCGTTGAAGCATCTCCACAAGAAGCCAACATGTCAACATGAGACAGGTCCAATCAATCGACGGGAAAATCTAAAATTGAATTATTTTTTTTTTTTGATTTACAGCTTGATTCCACATCGTATTTTCAGTACAAGTGTGGAATTTTCAGCATGGATATCGGTAGCCCAAATTCAGGCCGACCATAGATATCGGGTGTGCGCCGGCAGGGGATCGAACCCCGGACCATGTGCATGGTCGGTGAGAGTCCTAACCACTGTGCCACCGACGCAGTAGATAATGCCATTAGAGAGGTCATATCTTAATCGATTAAAACAAACCAATGCAACAGAGAAATGGAGGCTTTTGGTAGCTGAAGTTTTAATCAGGCCGCCAATTCTAACCACAACATTTTTGTCTAGAGAAATACTTACCGATATATGTATATAGGAATATATATATATATATATTCACACGTTTTATAACGCTTATTCAAAAATTTACCAGCTATTTTCATATTACTTTTAAACCAGAACAAAATGGAAACGTCAAACAGCTGTCGGCTTCGAATTATTAGCTGAAGCCGGAAATTTTGTAGCAGTCCAGCGTATACTACAAACTAATCCTTATTGGGCATATCATCCAGCTGCACAAACCATCCTAGCCAATATGGAGGCAATTATGAAAAATCGGACGGAGACAGAAACAGCCTACGATTTAAGTGCTAATAATACTACTAATAATAACAGCAACAAGAATACTAGTAAAGAAGTGAAATCAAATGCATTTCGGCATATTTCTCATGATGATTGCGCTGTACAAGATCAAGATTTACTGACAGTTAGTAAAGACACGTCTTGTTTTAAATCGAATGAAGCCAGTGTTCAACCAATGTCTTCTTTAAACTCAAAGCATACAACAACCTTACCAGAAGAAGATTGTAAAACGTTGGAATCTCCAAATGAATCTCAATTCACCATAGAGACTTCTGTCAATGAAAAAACTTATCCTATAACAATTATGACAAATAATAATGTCAATTCTTTAGATTCTATAGATTCAACGCTAAATCATCCCTCAGTATTTGAATTACCTGATTGGTGGCCTTTTAAGTCAACTTTTAAAGATTTAATACAAAATCAAAATTTAAAAATACAAGATGGCGGGTATACAGATGTACAGGTGAAGTCAAGTTGTATATCTTCTTTGTCAGTTTCATGTACATCTTCTAATTCTAATACTTCATCATTGTTACCTTCTAAAACTTTATCGTCGTCAACAGCATCGCCATCACTGTCATCATTATCGTCGTGTAGTTTTAGTCAAAATCTGCTAATGACAGCAGCGGCTAAATTATTACATTTAAATCTACCGCCAATCGATTCTACACTATTCAAACTGAATAATCTTAATTGTTTATGGCCGAGTGGATCATTGAATTTATGTTCGGATTTATCAACATTGAGTACACATGATTTATTGTCGAGAAATCAAAATGTTACCACTTTATGAAACAAAAGAGAGAAAAAAAAGCGACCTCTTTTTCTTTCATTTCTACTGTATACACAGAATAAATTATCAGGTCAAGAAGTCTGTATGAACAGTCAGTGTGGATCCATTTACTTCATGGAGAGAGAGACTTGGACTGGGATTGGGATTGTCTTTATCATGCACATATGTCACCAGTGAATCCCCTTTTTCAGCAGAAGAAGAAACTGTACATGGGGATTTAAATTTGTTGAGTAGTTTTCGAAATATTTCATCGTATTTCGCATTATAAATATATGCATATAATAATGACAATTTCATCATCAAAAATGTGAATTAAATCTTGAATATAGTTTATTGAAAATTAAACCATATGTATTACATTTTTGAGTCATATAAACCAATAGGAAGAGTTCAGCGGAGAGTTTTCTTTTTTTTCTCAAATTACATAATCGTATATAAACAGTAGATTGTCTTAGCAACTAAAGGAATACTAAGGGATTTTATCAAGAGCTGACATCGGTTAGAGAACCATTGAAAAACCAGCGCTTGAGTACTGCCGGAAAACCCACTCCACCCTCTGGGTTTGAAGCCAGCACCTCTCGGTTACAAGACGAGCTAGTTCGTAGACCATTTAGCCACTGGGACCCACCAGTCCAATGGCCATCCCATGAATTCCAACTGCTGCCAATTCATGCACTATATAGCGCGCCATTGGTACTAGGCAATGTCATCACTGGTGAGTATTTGTCCTAACACCTGATCTACGTGCTGTACTCCACTGGTGACGACTCCCCACTAGAACCCAGGTAACTACCTATCTGAATAGGGCCAGTGGCTAGTCAGTATCAGAGCTGTAATCGGTTAGAGAACCATTGGAAAACCTGCATCCGCTTATAAGAGATAAGACGACCTATAGTCTAAATGTCTACTACAGAGCGCGATAGCTTTTCATGAACACTAGAGCACAATTCCCTTTCTTTTGTTCGTCTTATTTTACAATCTAACATAGCTAATACCCCCTTTTCATTTCCTAACTAGACCATTCAACCACTGAAACCTGGTCCAATGGCCCAAATATTTCAATATTTCCAAAAATGTGTCATTAGGATTCTAGTTTTTTCGATAAACACGGGCCAGATTTGCAGTATAAAATGATATTATCATTATGTTTCACAGGTTCTCATCAGCTGCTGCATACCGCTTCCTGCAATTACAATGGATATAAATGATAACATTTCATACTTCAGTGTTTGAAAGGTGACCGAGAAAACGTTATAAGATAAACGCATCCGGAATATGGACATTACAATTTTTAGTTTAAGTCAGCATCAAACTATGAAAAAAAGGGCTGGGATGGGGTGACAGAAGACAGAAAACAAAAGAGTCTAATAAACAGTATTAGCTTGTAAGTTCATATAGCAACTCAAGAAGGTTACAATTCATAAAATTGGAAACTTGTTCAGTGAGCTGAAATCACTCACTAATATGGATGACTAATCAATGTAATCAAAATGCAGTTGCCAAGGCAGTGAGTGGTGGTGGTGGTGGAAGACTTCGATTGAATGTAGAAATAAAATGCAGCGTTGGTTTTCGCGATAGTCATTTCGTCGGCACATGCTACATCAACAATTCAAACCTTGATCTCTTGGGTTTAGACTGGTTCGAGAAGCTGCACCTGTCAGAAATTCCGTTAAGCAGTGTATGCCATAAGATAGAAAGTATTGAACCCTCAACAAGAAAGCCAGAAATCAGAGACAGATATATTAAACCTAAGCCCATTAGAAAGAATGACGTGATCAATGAAAAACCAACTTCGAATCGTCACAGTGAGTATGGCTGCGCCAAAAGTGCTTCGATGTCTGGTAGCAACAAAGTAGCAACTGTTGGCTCCAGTAAGAGAGGCTCTGCTCAAAAACTGAAAGTGATGTCTGTCATGGCAGCCAAAGATCCGCCGCGAGAGCCACCGAGAGCATGGCCCACGTCAAAACCATGGTCCCGCCTACATGTGGATTTTGCTGGGCCGATAGAAGGTATATACTACTTGGTTCTCGTGGACTCTTACTCAAAGTGGCCGGAGGTAGTACAAGTGACACCACCTTCTAGCAGCAGAACAGTATCAGTCCTGGAAAAGATCTTCGCATGTCACGGTGTACCAGAAATCATTGTATCTGACAATGGCAGTCAGTTCACCTCACAAGCGTTCCAGGAATTTTGCAAGAGAAACGGTATACAACACGTGCGGACGCCACCTTATCACCCTCAATCCAGCGGTCAGGCAGAAAGATTTGTCGACACCTTCAAACGAACGTTGTTGAAAGCAGGGGGAGGGGCGAAACCGGAAGCAATACAAAACTTTCTTTTTGTATACCGAACTACACCACTGACAGAACAGAAGAAAAGCCCTGCAGAACTTCTAATGGGTCGAATGCTACGAACTCATCAGCACTCCATGTTACCATCTTCGTCACATCAACGAAGAAATAGTCTGAAGTATTACCGCAAGGGTGATGCTGTCTATGTGCGCGATTATCGACCGAGGAACAGAAAATGGGCCGAAGGCTTGATAGAATGTCGGCATGGAACTCTAATGTACAAGGTTAAAGTCGGGGATGAATGGTGGATAAGACACAAAAATCAGATACGACGTCGATATACTACATCCCAAGAACCTAAATTGCCACTGGATTTACTACTGGAAACTTTCAAAATACCACCAGTCAAACCAGAAGCAAAACAAGAGATGCTACCCAGCCGACGATCCCAGCGCAAACGAACACAAACAGTTCATTTCCAAATCGACCCCAAGGAAAAAAGATACTAAACTGTTTGCAAGATTCTTTTTAAAAGGGGGAGGTAATATATACACAGGTGAATCATTAATATTCAGTATTTATTTCCCACACTAGCATAATCATTGATTTCACGCATCTGCGTGATTATTGATTTAAATTACTGAATTCCCATGGTTTGTTAATATTTTTAAAATGTGACATTGATATTTCTAACTGTATAAATACGGAGTTGTTGTTTAACATTTCGACTGTTGTTAGAGACAGTAAAAGCTCTCGTATCAACGTCCAGTCTTCTCTTTCTTTGTCTTGCGTGCCCGGCGGTATTGTTGTTGTTGTTGACGTGCGATTAGGACAGATTAGCCAGCGCATTAGTTAGATTCGCTCGTAGTCTACAAGGTCGTCATATTCACATACATAACAGTGAGACATTGATTACACTCTCTTTCTGTGTGCGTAAGTTTGGTTTAAAAAGCTTGATTGCAAATGTTTCAGCAAATCTTAGTAAATTTGCTGTCCTTTAGATGTTTAATATTTTGAAGAATTTGGAAATGCCCCGTATGCCCAAGGTTTCTGGTGATTGTAGTTTGCAAATATCTGTTTTCTCCTGAGCATAAGTTTCTTGGGATATGATTTGACAACCAGATAGAAGCCTTTATTTCTGTCCTTCCAATATACTTACTCCCTCAAGTGCATGTAAATTTATAAACGCAGTTGGAGGTGATATCAGTAGGGTATTTATCCAGTTTGGATTGGCTTATACAGCATTTTGGAATTTATAGCGTTACAAGCTTAGTTGCAAATGGGAAGTATCTTTTGATTGCTCGTTTTATTCACTTGTCAATCTTTTGTGATACCTCTTCTTCTTGCAATGGGAGACAAATGAATACTTTCTTCTTTTCAGCAGTTGGGTGTTTCGTTTTCACGTTCTTTTCTTTGCTGCTATACTTTTGGATAAATCCCTTTGGATACTCATTGTCCATTAGGTATCTATCAAAAAAACTAATTCTTCTTCAACCTTGTTAGGCAAACATAAGTTCCTGGCTTTGTCGTACAGTGTCCTCACTAATCCATGCTTATAGCTTATAGGATAGAAGTTGATGTAATGAAGATATTATCCAGTTCAGGTTTCTTTTCCATAGATGGACATTCCGATAGTACCATCATTTCTTCTTCCTACATTAAGTTCCAGGAAACTGAACTCTTGGTTTTGTTCATTTTTCATGTTGAATTTAATGTTTGGGTGGAACTCATTGAGACAGTCAAATAATACAGATACTTAACTTCGTTATGGATAAAATTTTATTTTGATAAAATAACACAGTGTTATACAATAATATTTAGTAATGACCACGTTTCGAGCACAAATTATTGCTCATATGATTATGAGCTGCTGTTCGCATAGTTTTGAACTGATAATGCATTCATCTTTCATTTTCTTCAATATCTTTGTTAGCTGGAGCTCCGTCTTTTCTGTGGGATCTTTCTGTCGAGACTGTTTTTGAAACTTTTTATCATCAGATAGTATCACTGAGAGTTTGTTTAGGTAGTCTGATTTGTTCATCAAGACGATCACGGAACCTTTATCTGGCCGTGTCATGATCAAGTTTTCATTATCCTTCAGTTCTTTCAAAAATTTAATAGAAGGCGTGAGAGAAGAAAACAATACAATTAAGAAACAAAAAACACAAAAATTACGTATTTGTTGTTAAGACTTATCAGGTCGATTGTAGATTTAGTCCCTGAACAAACTTCTTCTGAATGCCAAGTTCGGGATTTAACATGTGAATTGCCGCATTGCCTCTGCAGTCTGAAGAAGTTTGATTCGTCCCACTGTTTTGGCAAGATCCCCACGTATTCTATAGATAACTTTGAAGTTTCTTTGTTTTGTAGCTGTATAAGCTTGTTGCCGAGATTCGACCGATCAGGTTTTCCAGGATAGAGCTGTTGTGGGGTCGGGTTGGGTGGATCTTTTTCCTCCTTTATAAAACCGTGACTGCCGGTAAGTAAGTGTTCGATGATGCGTTTGGATAGCAAACATTGGGTATGGCGGACATACCTCGCTCCACAAGTGCAGTCAGTCAGTTGATAGTTGCACATCGATGAGACTAACAATGGGAGCTTATCCTTCACGTTCATGGGAATCATTGGCTTCACAGAGAAAGTTAGTCAAAGTTCAACAGTGAAGAAGGTTTTCTTCCCAAGAGCGGGACAGACAGTTTCTCAATATTTCTACTGATGAGTCTCCACTGAATTGTAAATTCAGGTAAAGAAATCTTTTAGAAGCAGAAAGTGTGGATGATTTTTAATGATTTATGCTTCACAGATTTTACGATGAAACGTTCAAGGTAGC